CACCTTGAGTACTGTGTCCAGTTTTGGGCCCCTTTCCACAAAAAAAAGACATTGAGGTGCTGTAGCGGGTCCAGAGAAGGGAACAAAGGTGGATGAGGGGTCTGGAGCACAAGTCTTATGAGGAGAGGCTGAGGGAGATGAGGGTGTTCAGCCTGGAGAAGAGGAGGCTGAGGGGAGACCTTCTCGCTCTCTACAACTCCCTGAAAGGAGGGTGTAGCCAGGGGGGATCGATCTCTTCTCCCAAGTCACAGGCGATAGGACAAGAGGAAATGGCCTCAAGTTGCACCAGGGGAGGTTCAGATTGGATATTAGGAAAATTTTTTACACAAAAAGGGCTATTAAGCCTTGGAATGGGCTGCCCAGGGAAGTGGTTGAGGCACCATCCCTGGAGGTATTTAAAAGAAGGGTTGACATGGTGCTTAGACACATGGTCTAGTGATGGTTTTTATCCGAGTTAGGTTGATGGACTAGATGATCTGAAAGGTCCTTTCCGACCCAGACAATTCTATGATTCTATAATGGATTTGACTGGAAGACATCTTTAAAGATCATCCAATCCAACCCCTGGCCACATCATTTAACATCAGCCTCAGCAATAAAGCGGTGTGCAGTCTTTCCAAGGAGCTGCTCTTCAGAGATTGGCTGAGCATCAATCTGCTGGTGCAAGGTGGTGGGTGATTGCCTTGCTATATATTTTTTTTGTTCTCTTTTTTCCCTTCCCTTCTTAGACTGTCCTGATCAGGACTGAAATTTTTTTGGAGTCTTTGTCTTCCAATTCTTCCCCCATCCCACTGGGACAGTGGATCAACAGAACAACTGGTGGGTGCTTGTTGCTTATAAACACACTGCAAAAGCCCACAGGTCCTTGCCCTTCTCCTTCCCTGTCTGTGCCCCGGGGCTTCCTGGGAATGTTTCTGGGGAGAGGGCGTCAGGGACAGACTCAGAGCAGGCAGAGACGGGGCAGGAGTGGGCTGAGAGTCTCAAAGGGCTGTCCAGGAGCTCTCCAAAGCAACGTGGTCACCAGCAGCAAAGGCTGCAGAGAAACTTGCAGCTGAGAAGCGGAGCTGCTGAACTGCTGCAGGACAGAGCTGGGTACAAGGACACATGTCCACCCAGAATCTTGAATGGCAGCTGGATTGGTAGCAACCAGCTCTGTCTCTCCACAAACCCTCCAGCCCCTGACAAGCAACAGCCCAAAAGCAGGGCCAGAAAAAGGTGCTTTTGTGGTAACCCCATCAAAACAGGTGTGACTCCCAGCACTGCTCCTGGGCACCAAGGACTGACATCAGCATCTTGGGCGGTATGATCTTAGCAAGGAGATTGATGGGAGCAACGATCCCACTCGGCTCAGCACTTCCCTGATGGAGTCTAGAACACTGTTGAGTTTTGGGCTGTAATGCAAGAAAGACCTTGACCGCATGGAACAAGTTCAGCAGAAGGTGGGTAGGATGGGACAAGGGGAAGAAGTACTTCCTTGGGGAGGAGAGGCTGAGAGCACGGTGCTTCCTGAGCACGGAGAAGAGAAGGCACTGGGGAAGACCTAAAGTCAGTGCAGTAGATATGGTCACTGAAATGCATCAAGTTACTGTATCCAACACCAGACTGGTAGCAAAGATTGGAAAGCAGAGTGTCACAAAATGCATGACCTGGGATATTAAAAACAATCCTACTTTAATGGTCATTGCAAAACCTTACCCCACAACTCCTTCCAGAACCACCCCATAACCACATCCATCTCCCAGGGGAACTTGGAAGAATGCTGCAGAGAAAAGGATGACACAAGGACATTGACTGGGATGCAACAGAACTTTATTGGGTTAAAAGAGGTACATGAGGTCAATCCAAGCAGAGGCCCAAATATACGAAGCACAAGAGGCTATGCTGGCGATCCCACAAGATGTCCATCGGCCTGCCCCAGAGAGGGAGCAGGGCCAGCAGGTCCTCCCCAGGCTGGCGTTGTGGGGCTCACAGCCCAGGGCAGCACAAGAGAACAAGGACACGGGAGGGAAAGGAGAGAGTGGAAGAGGGAAAAGGCAGGCATGGGCCGTGCTTTCTGAGAGCCCAGGCTGGACCCGTCCTTCTGCAAGGGGTGCTGGGGTTCCTCAGACCCCCAGAAAGCAACAGCACAATGCTGTCTCCAGCCCAGTACCACCATCTTCTGGGTCCCTGGAGACCTTCCCCAGGACCATCTCCATCAGCTTTAGCAGGGGAGGCACCTGGTGCCGCAGAAGCGGCTGCCCAAGCCAGAGAGGCCAAAGCCCCCGGAGCTGATGGGCACTCCCTCAGAGCTGAGGATGCTGCCAACGGCAGCGGAGGTGGAGGATCCCACGGCGGTGTTCTGTGGGAAGGAGCTGAGGATGGGTCCGGGCAGGGTCACCACCACGGGGGAGGGCTGGATGACGACGGTGGAGTCCTGGCACTGCCTGACACAGGGCTCATTGCAGCTGTTGGCCAGCGGGGTCGGGCCGCAGGGCTGGCATGGTCCGCAGGGCCGGCAGGGGCTGTAGCAGGACATGTCTTGTGGCTGGAGGTGCAGCTGAAAGAGAGTACAAGAGGAAACTATGCAAGAAGGGTGGTTGAAGAGGAACCTGTCATCCCACAACAAGGGAGGCCCTATGCCTCAGCCCAATAGAGCCCTATGAAGATAGACCATGCCCAGGGAGATCCCCACCTAGACCATAGCTCAGAAGACACCTCAGCAAAGCCTCAGCCTCTCACAATGACACACCTTCTGCTCTCTTCCCTCTCACATGGCAAGCAGTCTCAAAACACAGCATAGGACATAGAGGGAAGGCAGGTGTGGGCTGAGAAATTCCAAAATAAGAGAAAGAATGAGAGGAGGAGGAGAAGGAGGAGAGGAAGGATGAGGAGGACAAGAAAGACGAAAATATCTCCAAACTCACCTTATTGCCAACTAGATAGACGTGAGAGTGATGGATGAGAGAGTGAGGAGAAGGGCCCGCTTTTATACTGCTCCTGCACCGCCCCAGGCCCACAGTCACTGCACGCAAGCAGTAATTTTCCAACAGACTCACCTCCAAAGCAAAATATCCTCCCTAATGGCACAGGTTGTGCTTTGGTTTCTGTCAACGTTGTCGTTTCATTTCCTCATTTTTGACATGACCATCAGCCCTCAGAGGCTTTTTTGAAGTATCGGGATTTGAGGCCCAAGGATTTCCTGAGCAGGATCATGTCAGCACAGGCAGAAGATGTGCCCCCAAGTGATGGTGGTGTCTGCGCAGAGACACAGGTCTGGGGGAATTTGGTGATGTTGTTTACAACCTCCTATACAGGAAGGTGCACGTCTTCCCATCTGAGCAGTCCTCTCCTGGGTGCCCAAAGACTCCTATGACAGGATGTGCAGCACCCTTCTCCCTCCCTGCCTGCGTCCCTGCTCACTCCAGCCGTCACTGGTCATTGCCTCTATAGCAGGTGGGCTGCGCCTCTGATTCCTAATGCCTTTGCCTAATGAAAGGCTCACCTTCCCAGAGACCTCGATTTCTTTGGTGAAGCCATTCTGCTGTCATGGCAGTTCGTCCCCAGCCAATGCCTTTGGTGGGCTTGCGGAAGGAAAACATTGCCCTCCCAAAACCTGTGGTTACTCAACAATCTCTGTGGAGTCAGGTACCTCCCTTCTCACCAACAGTGGTGGTGTTGGGCTCGGGACAGCACCTACTCTCCTCACACCTCCATGCACTTTTGTCCACACGCTTTGGACTTTGACCTGCATGACACACAAAGGCATGGACACTTTTCCAAAACACACTGATCATCCTGCAAGTCCCTCGAGCTGTGGGAGTGCTGGCAGAAAGGTCCTTCTGAGGGCAATAGCTGTTGGGGCAGCCTGGAGCTGTGTGTCTGGGAACAGCCCGAGTGCTTGGTGGTAGCTTTCCCTGGGCATGGATGGAGCTGCCCTGGCCACAGGGGAATTCAGCCCGTGGGACACAGACCTGCAGAGAGCGTGCACTTCTGGCTTGGCCTCACACCAAAAGGCTGACACTCAGCCAATCCACAATTGGAGTGTGACTCGCCGTGGGTAGGGAGAGTCTGGCCCAGGAAGCTTGCCTACTGAAGGCATTCCCTTGCCCTCCTGGGACGCGTCCCAGCTGCCTCCATGCCTGCAGGGCAGGGAAGTGCATCACCTTTCTGATGTAGTCTGAGACCTGCTTTTGTACCCATGGCCCTTCGGATGCCGTCCCCTCCCTGAGCATCCTCAGGCACGTGGCTCTGCAGGGTCCTGTCAGGCCTTGCTCACTGGAGAGTTGGGGGAAGTTTCTTTGCCTCTCCCATGGTGCTGGGTTGTGTTCCAAGCTGAGGAGTCCCTTGGGACATCAGTGGGGAGGTGTGCTGAAGCCCTAATGCCAGGAGAAAACACGTATTGCCTGGGTCACAGGCAATCACGACACAGTCGCGACTGGTGGGGAGATGTTTTCTGCAAGCCTTTCTTTACCTCTACAGAGCATTCAGGAGAGATCCTCACCAGTCTCTTTGACCAGGAAGATGAGGCCAGTGTCCATTCCTTTCCACCCTCCAAGTCTTTCCCCAAGTCTGATCCTGCCCCCATGGGCAGATCTGCCCAGAGGAGCTTCTTTCTTTCCAGGTGCAGGACCATTTGTTCTTGCCAGGAGGCTCCTGTGGCCCAGTCCTCCTGCCAGTCTAGGTCTGTCATTCCTATTCTGAAGCACATCTAGTGGTTTTCTCAGGCAGCCCTTGATTTCATGCCCACCCACTGCTGGGAGGGCTCCCTCTCCTTCCTTCAATTCTTTCAGAGGACATGGAGGCCTGGGGGACCTTCTAGGTGTAGACTGAGAGAGAGACAAGGCGCTGACTCCCTCTGCCTGCTCTCTGTCAGCTTTCAGGAAATCAGCTGCCCCAGACAGCACAGCTTCCACATTTTTCTCCACCAGTCATTGGCTACTCTTGTAGAGGTCGATGTTCCTCCTGGTATTAGTTGCCTGTTTCTCTGGATGCCTCTTGCAAGACTCAAGGCAGACTGAGCTTTGGATTTCCTATCAGCATCCCAACATGCCTAGGAAATATTTCCAAATTCCTCCTTTGCAGCTCATTGCTTCTTCCACCCCCAGGATGCTGCCTTGAGTGCTCTGCCTTGAGTTCCCCACCTAGCTAAAGTCAGTCTGCTGAGACATCTGCTTGTCCTGAGTATTGGCACTGGACCTGTCTTGCTCTTGGACCATGAGGTGTCTAAGGCCCTGCCACCTTCTCTGGTTCACAGCTGCCTCCATGACATCTTGCCCACCAGCTGCCTGCCAAGGCTGAAGTCAGCATGTCCGAAGTCCAGGGACTGTACTCTGCTACTTGCTTTCCTCCCTGCCATCAAGTCTCAAACTCCACTGTTTCTCAGGTGCAACCACCAAGATTTCTTGGTTTCAAAGTTCCCAACCAGTTCTTCCTTCTTAGGGGCAGCTGTGCAGCACCCATCTTTTCCCGTGGCTGAATCGCAGGATCCTTGCAGTTAGAAGGGGATTCTAGTCAAACTGTCTCTGCTCAAAGCATGTTCGGCCTTTGGAGGAGGCTCAAGGACCAGTCCTGTCAAACTCTGAATATCTATAAGGATGGAGAAGCCATAACCCATCTGGGCAACCCCAGCTGGTTCCTGAGCACCCTCACATCAACAGCCTTTTCTTATGTTTTCATGGAATTTCCCACATTTCAACATGTGCCTATTACCACTAGGAGGTCCACTGGCTTTCTTCTAGTCCTCAGATGCATTCTGTGACTGCTGGGACATTCAAAGGGAGTTGAGAGCAGCCTTGTAGTGACACCAAACAATTCCCTCAGGTGCATGGCATCAGGATGCTTGCATTCATTGCACTCAGCCCAATCTGTTCAAATGTTCCCACACCTGACCCTCCTCTACTTCTACTTCAGCTGAGGCTTCCCTGCTCCAAACTTTCCAAGAAGGAGCCTGATCTCTCAACATCAAATCCTGCCAGTAAAGACCAAGGCCAAGACCTGGAATTCTTGTTGTGCTCCACATGCTTTGCCTGATTCAACAGCAGGTGAACCTCAACAACACTTAGGTGGCATCTTGAGCCCATAGTGACACCATCCTGCCCTGGAGATCATTGAGCCTGTACATCATTCCAGGCATGCCAGAAATGAGGAAATGTGATGGCAGTGTTGACGGAAACCAAAACAGAACCTCTGCCATTAGGTAGGATATTTTACTTTGGAGGTGAGTCTGTTGGAAAATTACTGCCTGCGTGCAGTGACTGTGGGCCTGGGGTGGTGCAGGAGCAGTATAAAAGCTGGCCCTTCTCCTCATTCTCTCATCCACTCGTCTTGCTGATTTCTCCTTGGGAACAAGGTGAGTCTGCAGCCCTTTCTCCTCCTCCTCCGGGATTTCCCAGCATATACCTCTACCTCCTGGTGAGGTCCTGGGATTGCTTGTCATGGGAAAGGGAAGGGGGTAAAAGTTGTGGCATGGAGAGAGGTTGAGTCTTGGTAGCTCATACTCAGGAGGTGGCTCTTAACCTACGTGGTATGAGAAAACCTGGGCTTGGTCACTGATGGCAGGGAACCTGTGGGCCATAGGGAAGAAGAAGCTGGTGTGTCTCACTACAGAGCCTCATGTTCTTGACTCCAGTTCATGCCTTGGCTCCCTTATGGTGGCGTGACAGAGAGCTCTCTATCCACCCCTCAGGATCTTCTTCCCCCTGCTCTTTCTCCCAGGTGCACCTCCAGCCACAAGACATGTCCTGCTACAGCCCCTGCCGGCCCTGCCAGCCCTGCGGCCCGACCCCGCTGGCCAACAGCTGCAATGAGCCCTGTGTCAGGCAGTGCCAGGACTCCACCGTCGTCATCCAGCCCTCCCCCGTGGTGGTGACCCTGCCCGGACCCATCCTCAGCTCCTTCCCACAGAACACCGCCGTGGGATCCTCCACCTCCGCTGCCGTTGGCAGCATCCTCAGCTCTGAGGGAGTGCCCATCAGCTCCGGGGGCTTTGGCCTCTCTGGCTTGGGCAGCCGCTTCTGCGGCACCAGGTGCCTCCCCTGCTAAAGCTGCTGGAGATGGTCCTGGGGAAGGTCCCCAGGGACCCAGAGGATGGTACTGGACTGGGGACAGAGCATTGTGGTGTTGCTTTCTGGGGGTCTGAGCAACCCCAACACCCCTTGCAGAAGGACGGGTCCAGCCTGGGCTCTCAGAAAGCACGGCCCATGCCTGCCTTTCCCCTCTTCCACTCTCTCCTTTCCCTCCCGTGTCCTTGCTCTCTTGTGCTGCCCTGGGCTGTGAGCCCCACAAAGCCAGCCTGGGGAGGACCTGCTGGGCCCTGCTCCCTCTCTGGGGGAGGAAGAGGGACACCTGGTGGGATCTCTGCCACAGCCGTGAGGCAGAGACTCCTTTCTGTCCCTGTACTCCCTGTACTGGTGACTCCACTCAAAGCGTCATTTTTTTCCCCCTTTTGACTCAATAAAATTCTATTGCATCCCAGTCCATGCCTTTGTCTAATCCTTTCCCCTGCAGATGCCCCAGGAGAGCGATGTTGCTAAGGGCTCTTTTTTGGGAGAAGGTTGATGAGGATAGTTGTGCGATGACTGTCAACACAGGCTTGCATTGTAGATGCCTGGTCATGCTTAGAGTGATACCTGCTTTTTGAAGCTCTCTGTGTATTTGGGACTGGATAAAATCACAGTACACTAAGTGCTCCACCCCTCCCTCCCATTCTGCGCACCTTCTGCTGAACTTGTTCCATGCAGTCAAGGTCTTTCTTGCATTACAGCCCAAAACTCAACAGTGTTCTAGACTCCATCAGGGAAGTGCTGAGCCGAGTGGGATCGTTGCTCCCATCAATCTCCTTGCTAAGATCATACCGCCCAAGATGCTGATGTCAGTCCTTGGTGCCCAGGAGCAGTGCTGGGAGTCACACCTGTTTTGATGGGGTTACCACAAAAGCACCTTTTTCTGGCCCTGCTTTTGGGCTGTTGCTTGTCAGGGGCTGGAGGGTTTGTGGAGAGACAGAGCTGGTTGCTACCAATCCAGCTGCCATTCAAGATTCTGGGTGGACATGTGTCCTTGTACCCAGCTCTGTCCTGCAGCAGTTCAGCAGCTCCGCTTCTCAGCTGCAAGTTTCTCTGCAGCCTTTGCTGCTGGTGACCACGTTGCTTTGGAGAGCTCCTGGACAGCCCTTTGAGACTCTCAGCCCACTCCTGCCCCGTCTCTTCCTGCTCTGAGTCTGTCCCTGATGCCCTCTCCCCAGAAACATTCCCAGGAAGCCCCGGGGCACAGACAGGGAAGGAGAAGGGCAAAGATGACCTGTGCTCACTGCCTGTTTGTGTGGTGTGTTCACGCTGGCAAGCACTGATCACCCACCAGTTGTTCTGTTGATCCGCTGTCCCAGTGGGATGGAGTAAGAATTGGGCGAAGAAGAATTAGAAAACTTCTTTGGGTCATGAACAATGGCTCCTTTGGAAAGACTGCCCACAGTTTTATGCTGACCATGATGTTCTGTGGCATGGAAATACTTTTGGTCCATTCAAGTCAGCTGTCTCGGCTGTGTCCTTGCTCAGAAACTTGCCCAGCCCTGCCCTCCACTGCAGGGAGTGCAGAATGAAAAGAG